ACGACCGTGAAGCCTGCGTCGTATAAGCGCTTTCGCCGTATGTCCCTGGACGCATGACACATCTTGGACAATACGCCCGGCATGTGGCCTTGCTGCACGCACCGTGTGTGCCGGTTGCGTCGGCTTTCTGGCGATCTCGTTCGACAACCACCGCCGCCGCTGAAACACCCGCGGGGCTAAGGAGGAAGACTTAAGATCTTCTGGCGAACGTCGCTGGCGCTCGAACCCCACTTCAGAAGACCGTTGTGTCGAAAAGTGGTTCGAATGCCCGGCGCTGGGTGTGGAATTGAAGAAGCGTATGAGCGAAAGATCTTTTGTTGCTGAAAGGTCTTATGACGCAATCCGATTATGCCTCTCCGGCCATGTGGCCCAATGGATAGGGCATCGGTCTTCGGAACCGGGGGTTGCGGGTTCGAGTCCCGTCGTGGCTTCCAAGTGCCGTGGTATTCTAGTCTTAGTTAGATGGGATCTTAAAAATAGGATACCGGTGCGCGTGTTTGTATGCACACACACACACACACTATGTTCCAGATCATGCCCCCCCTTCAAATAGGTGCACGAGATCGGGAGATGAGCACCTGACTATTAACGAGTAACGTTTCTTTTTTTGTGTGCCCAACAAATCAGCACCTTTTCGTTTGAGTCGGCCATTCGATGGTTCCCTCCGCCAGACTTGATTTGTAGACTCCAGCGAGGGAGGATTGGTAGTTGTGTTTTTATTGTGGTCCTCTGAATCTGATGAAGAGAGTAATGGATTGTGGTGTTCACTATTTCGTGTCGTGTGCGAGGTGGTTACATTGTGTTCCTCTGAATCTGATGAAGAGAGTAATGGATTGTGGTGTTCACTATTTCGTGTCGTGTGCGAGGTGGTTATATTGTGTTCCTCTTGCTCTGGATCTTCGAGTTCCGGTTCTTCGAGCTCCAGTTCCGCACGCACTTCAACGATTTGGTTGCCTTCTTGGTCCTGATCTTCCTTATCTATTTCGATGTGTTCTGATTCCGGCTGTTCCCGTTCCCCAAAATTTGCTTCAAGAGCAGGAAGTAGGTGGATTTGTTTGAACGATCGTGTAATGATATCTCCTTCCGTGGACTTCAACTGCACGATCTGCCTCTCTTTATCAACGGAAACAATCTGTTAAGGATCGCTGAAAATGGGATCATGCTTTCTCTTTGGGTATAGCCGCGCACATACTAGTTGTCCTACTATGGGATTAATAGACGTAGTTCGGGAGTTCAAGTCCATCTCCGCCTGTTGTTGAGAAATATGCGCCATCGCTTCATCCCTTTTTGTCTGTATCTGTTTCATGTGAGTCTTCAAGTCGTCAACCACATCGACGGTTATCTTTAGAGGGTTGAGAGTTCGTCCAAACAATAGCTCTGACGGAGCAAAGCCTATGGTGTCTTGTACAGTATTGTTGTACTGCTGGACAAAGAGTCGAAGTTCTTCAGTCCATTTTGGCTTTAGCACAGAATGTTGTTGGAAGAACACATTGAGGTGACGGTTTAGTATCTCGACAGGCGCTCGAGCGATCGGGTGATATGGAGCATTATATATCCACTGAATCCCCAATTCGTCCGCTTTCCTTACCGAGAAGTCACAAGTAAACGACGTGGCATTATCGCTTACAATCCTATCTGGGATACCGAAATATTCGAACCATTTTCGAAGCAAAACATTCCATACCGTTGCTGAGTCGGTATGGCGAACAATCGCCACTTGCCAGTAGCGTGTAAAGGCGTCCATCATCGAGAACAACCAGTACTTTTCTGGCGTTTCATTATCTCCAGTAGAGTCCGATGACTTTTTTATGACAGGTCCATAGAAATCAACAAGGAGCGTGTGTAGTGGTTGTATTCCTTGTATGTGTAAGGGTGATCCCTGTCTGCATTCATAGCCCTTCTTCGATTTCTGGCATGTGGTACACGATTTGACATAGGCATCTATGGATTCCTTCATTTTTGGCCAGTAAACTACGGTCTTCATATGTCGGTACGTTTTAGTAGTACCCAAATGGAAGGAGTGGGGGTTATGGAATTGGCCCAACGTCATTGTCCGAAGTTCAGATGGTATATAGACGCGATCGCCTTCCCAGTAACACGCGTGTTGCTTGTTAAGGAGGTTAGCCTCATAGAGCCTTTCTCCCTCCGCATCATGTGCTGTGTGTTCCGCAATAGTCATCAAGTCCAGTGAGCAGAACTTATGAATTCTGGCCGGCTCGTCTACTTGTAACGCTGGGTACGAGATAATAGGCAAACACATATCTGGTTGCATTCGGTCTGCAATGTCATCAGAAATCTCATCGGTGGCTATCTGTCTGGAAAGAACATCTGCCACAATGTTATCAGCGCCTTTTCTGTAAACAACTTTAGCGTTGAATTCATCCAATATGGCGTTCCACCGTGCGATACGGCCACGTTCGCATTCTCGTATCCACTGAAGTGATTGGTGGTCCGAACGAATCGTTAGTTCTCTATCACCGATCAGGAGGGTCCTAAAATGTTTTAAGGACCATACGATGGCAAACGCTTCAAGCTCTCTAATCGGCCATTTCGATTCTCTCTTGTCAAACGCATGAGATGCGTACGCTATTGGCCATAACTCGTCTTTCCGGAGAGCAAAGAGGCATGCTCCTATCCCCCGTTGTGATGCGTCTACATCGAGAACCAACGGTGACACATCATCCATAGGGTGCAGGTCTGGGAGGTTCGAAATTAACTCTTTTACTCGTTCAATGATTTGAATTTCTTTGTCCGATAGGGCGAGTGGATTTCGGTTCAGTGCTTGGTATAACGGTGCCACAATCTCTGCGAATCGAGCGATGTACCTCCTGAAGTAATTTGCAAATCCGAGAATCTGCTGTAGTTCCTTTTTGTTTTCCGGTATTTTCATGTTCGTTGCAGCCTCCGTATGCTTTGGGTGTGTTCCTATTCGGTGATGGGATACCAAGTGTCCCAAGAATTCGATTTGGTGTTGTGGCTCGAACACAGACTTGGCTTGGTTGATGGTGAAACCGTGCCCTTCGAGTCTGTCAACTATTTCCTTTAGGCGAAGTCTACACTCCAAAGGGTCTGCTCCTATTACCGCAATATCATCGATGTATGCGAACGCAAAAGTCGTGAATCCGCTTAGAACCTCATCTATGACTTTCTGAAATATCGCCGGAGCTGTCTTCAGACCGAAAGGCAGGCGATTATATTCGTAGAGGCCATCTGGTCCATAGAACGCTGTGTATTTCTTGCTCATTTCGTCCAATGGTATTTGCCAAAAAGACTTTGATAAGTCAATCTTGGTAAAATATCTTCCTTGAGCCACTCTCTGTAATAGGCTTTCCGTATTCGGTAGCGGATAGGCGTTATTTTGTAGGCAAGTGTTTAGCGGAATGTAGTTGCCGCAAATTCTAATGGGCTTAGCTCCGTCGAAGACAATCCGAGGCTTAGCAGCCCATGGTGAGTTGCTTGGTCTAATGATGTCGTTGTTTATCATCATTTGTATCGTGTCTATGGCTTGTTTCCTGATTCCTGGCGGATAAACATACGGTCTGGCCGCAATCGGTTTGCGCGTGGGGTCTACCGTTAGGCTCTGCGGTAAGACCTTAGCTGGGCCCAATAGCACACGTGCATCCGTGTCATTATGTTTCTGGCATAGAAGGGAGGCGGTTCCCGCGGTCGGGATTGTCAGTACAGCTTTCCATTCCTCCAATTGCTGTAATCCAATAATTATCGGCACTGGTAAGTTAGGGGTAGTCCAAGCGAAAATCTGTTCCTGTCGACCTCCTGGTAGGGTAACGTCCGTTATTGTATACCCGTCTATATCTAGTCGTTGGCCCCCTGCGTCAACGAGGGTTGGTTTGGCATGGGCTTCTTTCTTTGCGGATGCATATTCGGAATGGACAAGATTTGCAGCCGAACCAGTATCAATCAGAGCGGGGCCTAGTGGCGTCTGAATCTCGAAAAGTGTCACCTGGGTGTCGAAAATACTTAACAGACATAGCTGGCTTCCGTTTGTAATCAGAGATGTTTCCCTTTCGTTCATTCCACGTGTGGCCTCGCTGTTGGTAGCATTCAGTGTCATCATGGCTGCACTTTCCATAAACAGCGCACTGTTTCCACAGTTGTTGATGTGGCCGCGCTCGGTCCGTCGGTATCGTTTCTGGCTCAGAAGATCCTCTCTTCTCGTTGTTTTGCCTTCCTGACTTCGGTGTTACTACTTGAACCGTTAGCAGCCTATATAGCCATTCTTCGGGTTCCGCACATGCTGTTAGGTGGTTCCGGACAGATGGATGTGCACGCTTGTTGTAGCTGAACATTACCATGCCTAAAAAGTGATACGGTACGGTGTCGAGACGAAAACAGATGTTTCGTATGGTATCCATGCTGTGTGTGAGTTCCTCATGTGCCTTGGTTAGGTCTGTGGTGGTGATCGTGTCTATGTTTGCGATAGCCTCGTATAAAGCCGTGCTTTTCGGGAATTTGTATCGCATGAAGGCACGGTATGCTTCTCGTGGTGAAGTTGCATCCGGCGCAACGCAATATATCTGCTGGAGTTTTCGCAGGATTATGAATTTTGGAGTTCTTTTGTGCTTTTGGATTGCTTTTGTAAACCACTCGTCACATGCGAGTTCAGAGCTCGGTAACGGAGGCAGGCTAATATTTGATTGAGCTGCCGATGTTTCTTGAAGCAACCTCAATGTCGTTTCCTCTGGTTCGTGTGACCTCTTAGCTATCAACTCCATCAACTCTAGTTGTCGTTGGAGCAGTGTCTGCAGCAGTGGTGTGTTATCCCTCGGGGCGTTTTCGTTGTTTGCAGCTGTCGCCATATTCTAGTCTTAGTTAGATGGGATCTTAAAAATAGGATACCGGTGCGCGTGTTTGTATACACACACACACTATGTTCCAGATCACGTGGACTGAATCTGGAACGGATGTTTCTCCTTTGTGTGGATGGCCAGCAGGCTGCAGGAAACATAGGCGGCAG